TCGTCAGGGGGTCTCTGGTTGGTCTTAAGCAGGAAGCAGGCACAAACACGGGGGAAGCTGTCAGTTATTAATCAAGTCCTGGCCATCTGGGGCCGATGGTACGGGGGTTATTGGCTGGCTTCCTGACTAGGTTGCCAGAGATAAGCAGTGGACTGTGGGTGAGGGTTCCATGTGTACATGTGGTCCGAGCACCATCTGTCTGTACATTCAGTTTCTCACAGTGGAGTGGGGCAATTTCCACACTCAGGAAGGACATGAAATTCATGTCAGGGAGAGGACCTATAATCTTATTTTTCAAAACAGATCAATGACCTTTTGGATATATGAACAGAAAACCCAGGGGTGGTCTAGAGGATGAGCAGAAGAACAGGCTGACATTTCTCTGCCTAATAAAATCATGTGACAAAGGAAAACTGAAGGAACAAAATAGCAGCAGAATCACAGAACCCAAGAATGGACTGATAGTTACCAAAGGGAAAGGGACTGGGGAGGATGGGTGGGAAGGGAGGGACAAGGGCGGGAAAAAAGAAAAGGGGCATTACGATTAGCATGTATAATGTGAGGGGGGGGTACGGGGAGGACTGTGCAACACAGAGAAGACAAGTAGTGATTTTGCAGCATCTTACTATGCTGATGGACAGTGACTGAAGGGGTATGTGGGGGGGACTTGGTGAAGGGGGGAGCCTAGTAAACATAATGTTCTTCATGTAATTGTAGATTAATGATACCAAAATTTTAAAAAATCATGTAAATCCTAAAATGGTGGCTGACAGAGAATGCACTGTGGCTGGCACTGGTCTCGGTGGCAGTGGAGGTGGTGGGGACAGGAGCTGGTCTTCCATGATGGGCACAGTGACAGGAACCCCACAGCTAGAGTGAGGCTCCAGGGGTGGAGATGGACTGTGGGGTTAATATCCCATCTAGGTTGCTTTCTTCCTTGTAGAGTCATTCCCCACCGCTGTTCCCAAATTTGTAGCATGATACACATGGTACCATTGGATTAATAGGGCTGGAGAATGCCAGAAAATAATGTTTGTTCCCACATTGGGGGAAAGGACATCAGTGTGCTTTTGACAGTTAGGACAATGACATCATCCACCACAATCCTCCCAACCTGTATACAAGGAGGGTTGGCAGTTTTGCATTTACTGTGTTATGGCAGGGGAGCTCCAGTTATATTCTCCAGATATTACAATCCTGGTGGGCTGCAGGGTTTGGGTGACCTCTGGTTTGTACCATGCCTAATGCTAAACTGTCTGAGGTTATCAATCTGGCATACGACGAATTTTGGGGCATAATTGAAGGTAGACAGAAGGGGCCAAGAACAAAGACATAACCCCCATGTAAGAACATGGTCATGTTTCTGGGCAGCTGCGTCTGGGGAGGTCTTTCCCTGCCCACTACGTGAGACCTCAACCTGGATGGGGGAGGGTTCTTTACTCTGATCAAGATGGAATTCATGAAGAGGTCGGACAAATGTGGGTAAGGAACTCATTAAAGCGAGAGCAGTAGTGAATGGCAGCCGCAGAGCAGGCAGCAGAGAGAAGGAAGAAAAGAGGGAGGGAAGGGAGGCTCATTGAACCCCTGCTCCGCACAGAGCAGATCCCTTGCCAGCTCCCAAGGCCAGGGTCGCCTGGTGTCCAGAGTCCGCTTGAATCTGCAATGTGAGAACTTAAGCTCCTACCACCCCAGAATTTGGGGGAGCCACAGAACACTGAATAGGGTGAGATTATGTTCTGAGAACTTCCCAAAAGCAAACAAAGGATCAGGCAGGCTGCTAAAGGGCATGATCGTAAGCTGCAGTCCTGTCCGGGTCACCAGGCAATGGGAACTTGCAGGCCCAGATCAGAGAGCTCAGTAGCCCCTCCCTACTTGTCTGGAGTAGAACAGAGAGAGAAGACTAGTGCTTAAGTCTAAAAAATTGAATGGAATGGTGAAGCAACAAAGACACTTACCACTGGGAAAAAGTGCTAAAAAATTTCCTAAGAGGCTTGGAAAAGCACAGAGACAAAACACAATAATTTGAGCAGTGAGACTTTATTTAAGGCAAAGTACACACTCGAAGAAAGGGGAATGCGTGTAGCCTTAGAGAGGAGGTGAGCTTAAATGCTTAGGATTCATGTCTTTTAAGGATTTCAAGAATGGGGCAAAAGGCCAGGGTGTGTAGGCTTGACTTGTGGTCTCATGACGTCTGTCTCTGGTGAGAGACATTATGTCACCATCCATAGTCTGTCTTCTAGATATTCTGTAAGATAAACTTAACACAAAGAAAATGTTTTAGTCTTTTTCTTCTCCAAGATAGTGGTCACCCTCAAGCAGTGGAAGCATACCATTTAGGCCTTAAGGTCAGTTGTTAGCTAATTACCATAAAGGATGTTAGGAATCTTCCCTCCTAACTTCCTAGTTTTTTAGAATGGAATCTTAGCCTTAAGATGGGGTCCCTCCTGTTCTTACTATATTATTTATATCTTGGGATTTTTCATCATAGGCAGGAAAAATTAGTCATGATGCATGCCCCATGTCCCTGCTCTCTCACTAATTCCTGGAACCAGTTATAGGGGCCAAGCGCAGGCCACTCCAAGATGTGCCACTGTGACTATGAAGCTGAAAATAATCAAGGCCCAAAAGATTCCAAGGACACTTGGAACCCCTCCCACTCCACATCTCCATAAAAAGAGTTTAGGTGGTAGAACTGCTCCAGGAAGAAAGCTAGCACCACAGGTAAACACATTATAATATAGACCAGGGGGGACAGAGAGGGAGGGTCGTGGCTAAGTCTGTTAGACTGTCTCTGTGCCCCATTGTTTCTGTATTTGGTTTACCAAGCCTTTACTCTCTTCATATTCCTGTGAATTGATCCCCTTTTCCTTTGAAGTCTCAGGCCCCTACTCTCTTCTCTTTGGTTCAGGATGACATGTATGCCTCCTTCTCCCTGACTGTCTTTGGAATTTATCCCCGTAGGTATGTAATAAAACTTTGGTTTCTTTCTCCTGTTAACCTGTCTCCGGTCAATCTGATCCCTTAAACTGGGTAGAAGAACCTTGGGGAGCAGAAGAGAATTCCCCCTGCCCAGCACTGGGGATGTGAGCTTCCACCACAAGAGAGATTTTGCAGATGTGATGAAGTTGAGATGGGGAGATGACCCTGGATGAGCTGGGTGGGCCCTAAATGCCATCACAAGGGTCCTTAAAAGACAGAGGTGGAAGGGTATTTGACCACAGAAGAAGAGAAGGCCATGGGATGAGGGAAACTGAGCTTGGGATGAGAAGGGGCCACAACCCAAGGGATGCAGGTGCCCTCAGAAGCCAGAAAAGGCACAGAAACATTCTCCCCTGCAGAGACCTGAGAGGGGTGGGTGAGACATTAAGAAAAATGCAGAAATAGCAAGAAAAACACAGAAATCAAAGTTGGCATCATGAGGTCCACTGACCGCTGATGGTGGACCAGTGATGCCATTTCATTTCATAGGACAGCTTATATACACAGGCTCACATTCGTGAGCCCCACCACAATGATATCACTTCCGGTGCTCTCACTTCCGGTGCTCTCACTTCCGGTGCTCTCACTTCTGGAAGTGATTTCACTTCCTTTACCAGCTTTCTACATCCTTCCGGCTCTCCACACTCCCCTCGAACCTCCAGAAGGAACTGGCCCTGCATTTGTCTTGACTTCAGCCCAGTGCAAATGATTTTGCACTTCTAACCTCCAGAAATGAAAACATTTGTGTTGTTTTAAGCCACTGAGTTTGTAGTAACTTGTTCCAGCAGCGATGGAAAAGGAAGAGTACAGCACGCTTCCTTTAGCCACACCTACAAGGTTCTAGTATAGTAATGGTGGACGGCAGCTGGAAGAGGACACCGAGGACTTGGAAGTGTGGCACCTACAGCCACAGAAAACTTGAGGCCCAGCCCAAAGCCACGCCACATAAAGCCTTGACTAAACATAAAACGTACCTCCACACCTCGGTTCCTTTCCCTCCATACACCTTGTCTAGCTTCAATAAAAAATTGTTGAAAACATGCTAAAAGGAAAAACAAAACACCACAGGGAGGATATAAGGGAACTCTGTACTTTCTGCTCAACTGTGCTGTGAGCCTAAAACTGCTCTAAAAAATCAAGTCTATGAAAATAACAACACTACAGCCTGAAGAGTCAAACCATGCATCAGACCCAGAGTGAGACACGACACAGATGTTGGAATCATCACCCAGGGAAGTTAAAATAGCCATGATTACTATCGTGAAGCTTCTAAAGGAAAAGGTAGACAACATGCAAAACCAGATGGTAAGGTAGCAGCAGAGGCCCTAGGTAGACTCGAAAGCACATGCTAGACATGAAAAACACCGTGACAACAAAATGAAGAACTCCAGTTTGTCTGCCCGATGGAAAACTCATTCCCTCTCCTCTGCAACGCCAAGATGATTCAAGAGGGAAGAGCCCTCGGCACCCAGGGTCCTGGCTCAGGGAAGTACCGACGTCTCTAAAATATGACATATTCTAATTCATGACAACATGAAATATCTCTTATGGCGGACTTCCTTCATTTCTCAGCAACATTTTCCAGTTTTTAGGGCAGAGAGAAACTATTTTGTTAGCATTGCTTTTAGAGAAGGGATGGCACTTAACATTTCACTTTCTGACATTCCTAACATAGACATAGAAATTATTTCTGTAGGTTGATTTTCGATATAGCTACTGTGCTAAATTGCACATTAGTTTCAATAATTTGCTTGGGTATATCTTGGATTTTCTATGTACATTCATCCTATCACCGGAAGCCATGATGTTTTACTTCTTCCTGTCCAGACACAGTGTCTTTTAGTCTTTTCCCTGCTTCCTTGCGCCCTCTATGTCATTACCATGTAAGCATAAACATCCCTATCCCTTGCTTGACCTTAGCGAAAAGTGTTCAATATTTCACAGCTCATTACAACTAGAAGCCCATGCTGTGTAAGTACAGTGAATCCAGGGTCACCAAAATAAATACCAGATGATAGTTTGTATTTACTTTACATTCAGGTTTTTAACACATTTTTAATTCATTGGTTACAAGTCAACATGTGGAGATAGCTCACAATGACCTAAATGTCTAACTCTTGAAAAACTTGCAGATCTGGCCTTCCCACATGACAGCAGTCAGCTGGGGCTGAGCGGGAACTGCCGGCTCTATTTTGTCATTGTACTGGCCCTATTGTTTTTCTTACTCTAGGTCTGCAACACTCAGTTTCTATACTTGCCCTTCTATTGTAGAGACTTGATTTTGTATTTCCTGGGAAAATAGATGCACTGACCCATGAAACAGAACTCTCTCTAGCCAGAGGTTAGCCAGAGGTTTCTCAACACTGCGTCTTGTTCAACGGGAGGCAGGTTGGCAATCAAAGTCCAAGTGTGCCCCCTGCTGGACAGGGATCACTCAACACGCATAACGGGGAAATCATGGGAAGACCAGGATCCTCAATTTAGATGCCCTGTGCTCAGCTCTCTTCCAAAGCAAGTTTGACAAATGATAGAGTGGAAAACGAATATCTCATGAAAGAACTATGTAGGATATTTTAATTCGCTGACTTCATGGAACAAAAAATGGTAGACTGAGGGAGCTTCCGACCTGTAACGAAATTAAAGAAAATGTTATTAGATATAAGGAATAAGACAACACAATACAAATGGAACTAGCAGATCTCAGAGAAAAAAAATTAAGGACCAAATAATAAGAATGAAAAATCAAAACAGTCTTAGAGCATAATAATACAATACTTGGCACGAAGGAAACCAAAGCCAGTGGCCTAGAGTCCAAGTTCAGGAAAATCACAAGAACCAAAGGCCAAAAATGATGAGAGGGGAAGTGAGGGCTGAGGAACAATCCAATCAGTTAGTTTTTTGTTCACTTTCTTGTTAATAACTACAAAAGCTGGGGAAAGCAGATGGTTTTTCACGAACATGGAAACTGCAAAAACATTCTCAAGAATAGACAAACACATTATATAGATCAGTAATTAAAAAATAAACTGAAAGAACTGTATTAACTCATTTTGAACTCTCAAGAAGCAGGCAATTCTGATCCAATGTAAACTAAAGATACAAACCCGAAGCTTCTCAATCATCTGTATAGAGTCAGGGTTGCATAATACAAAAATCGAACATGGTGACACAAAAATGGAAAACTACAGATGTCTCTCTCCCTAATGAACAGTGATGGGAAGAATCCCAAGGAGATGACTCACAGTAGAAACCGCCAGTAAATTGAAAAACATATACCATGGCCAAATGGATCTCTTAAAATTAAGGTACCTTTCCCAACAAAAATCCCTGTGTATAGGATTATTTCCTTGACACAAAATCTATTTCTCTATCAGGTCACATAAAACCAAAAACAAATTTATCTTCATTGTAAAACACTACATCGGCCTACCTCGGGACTGAGTTCCTTGGGCCACTTCCCCACCACCTTTACTCATTCCCAAAACAATCTTATCAGTCTGAGAGCTTCAAATTCTCTCAAATATTGATCCCAAATTACTCTGATCCTCTCCTCTGAGCTCCAGATGCATAAATGGAAGTGCCGACTTGGGTATCTCGTAGGCACCTGAAATTCATCCTGTCCAAACCCCATTCCAGATTTCTGCTCCAAGCCTGTTCTCCCCAGGCTTCCCCATCCCAGGCATTAACTCCGTTATCCAGCTGCTCAGGTCAGAGACGTCAGAGTCACCCTTGTCTCCCCTCCTCCTACAGCCTCAATCCAGTCAGAAACCCTCTTAGCTCTACATTCAAAATATATCCAAAATGCATCCTCTTCTCCTTCTCTGCCCCCTCTTCCTGTGTCTTTCTCTTCTGATCAGTAGAGATGGAGTGCAGCAGAGCGGGATGGATTCCCGCGCAGGGAGGTGGCCTGGATGGGGCGTGTCAAACAGACAGCGAAGGATGTCGACCCAAGAATGTCCGAGAGGAATGTCAGACCTGGACAGGATGAGGAGGGCATCTGCGTGTGTTTACACTCCGGAGGACCCTGCAGGGTGACGAGGGAGTGCTTGGTGCGGTGGGGTGAGGTGAGGACATCCTAGCAGGGGAAGCAGAGCCCAGCAGGCCCAGGAGGGCAAGCGCACTGGGGAGCTGAGATGGGGAACTAGCTACCCTCAGGCGGACTGATCCAATAAGAAAACAGATTATAGATCATGGCCAGCAGGTTTCCCATTCTCATTTACACACACGGGAAGGCAGAGAACCAGAATGACCCATGTGGCAGTGAATTGGAACTAGAGATAAAGGAATGAACTCATGGATTTCAGTATTTGTTTTATGCATGAATTAATGAATGAGTTCAGACAAGAGACTGTTCCCAGTCAGGTCAGGAACAAGACAATGGCACCTGCTATCACAATCACTATTTGACATTCTAACAGTACGGTTCTTGGTTGTGAAGGACACCAGTTTAGGTTCACTTAAGCAAAAAAGGAATTCATTCATAGGACACTGGGCAGCAGACAGATTGGATAAGAAAGCCAAAGTACCAAATTTAGAAAATGGGTCAGAACCCAAGGCGACAGTGAAAAGAGAATCGTGGCCAGGTTTGCCTGGGGACAGCCTGGTTCAGCGCCAGGGCCGTCAAAGTGAGCCCTGGACCCTTCCTGATGTCTTTATAAAGTCTCAGTGTGTGTGCAGTCAGACACCTGCCCACGAGCCACTAGGTTTCAGGGAGAGCAGAGTGTCTGGCCTTTATGTCCTCAGTGGCAGCAAACGGAACCTCACAGGATGATGGAATTCCCAAACAGACGTAGTGGCCAGCTGCTCGGGGCAAACAGTTCTGAGAGTGCTGGCCAAATGCAATTACCAAACGGAACCAAATTGGAGGTATAAATCCTGGAAAGGATATATCCTTATTATTTGCAATTAGTATGACTGTATCCCTGGGAAGTCCAAAATTAACTGCAGAAGGTATTAGAAGCAATAGGAAAACTCATTAAGGTGTCACGTTACACCAGTTACTCAGTGTCCGCACTATTGACATTTGGAGCTAGATAATCCTTTGTGGCGGGGGTGGGGGGGTGGAGGGGGACGTCATGTAAGATGTTCATCAGTACCTTTATCCTCTGCTCGCTAGATCCCAGCATTGTCCCACCCTCTTGCCAAATATCCCCTGGAGGGAGAGCAAATCATCGCCCACTTGAATCGGGTTGCACAATTACTTTATAAAAGCCAATTACATTTTTACACTAAAAAGTGACCAATTGAAAATTATAATGGAAAAATAATTTTTGCTCATATTTAATTTACCTTAAGATCATGGGAAACCCATCTAGAATGATAGTGTATGGTGTGAGATACGGATCTAATTTTACCTGTTGATTTTTCAGAAGATCTTGATTAGCATGCTTATCTTAAATCTTGTCAAGTCAGAGAACTTGATAATGATTCCCATTTTCTGTAAATTCCCTTGGGCTTTCTAGGTAAAAGACCATGTCATTTGCAAAAGATGACAATCTTGTCTTTTCATTTCCCGTAGTTATACCACTTATTTCAATTTCCTGTCTCACTGCCTGTCCTAGCACTTCAGAAGCAATTATAATTGTGTTAATAGTGAGACTCTGCCCTGTTCCTGGCATAAATGGGGAGATTTTAGAATTCCACTATTATCTATATAATGCCTCTCAAATTTCTTTAGTTTTGGAGATGGCCGTGTTCTGTTGGCTTTAATATAATTATTTTCTAGATATTCTGAAATAGCGATTTTGATTTTTCTCTTTGGCCTAGCATCAGATAATGTTTCTCTTCCATTTTTGCTGTGTGTATGTGTGATTTTTACTATTTCGCTATATATGCAGCGACTCATTAATTATATTAAATAGCTCCACTATAGAGTGTGTCTAGTTCTGTTTGCCATCCAATAAAGGAGTCACTAGCCTCATGTGGCTACTGAGCACTTGATATATGGCTAGGTGTGACTGCAACTGAACATTTAATTTTATTTCACTTTAATTAATTGAAACTTACATAGCCATATGTGGCCTGTGGCAGCCATAGCAGACAGTACAGCTCTAAAATTTACGGTTATCCATTGATTCTACCCTAGCTGAGAGAAGACATTCTCTTACTACAGCTAAACGTGTGTATTTCTCCTCCTGTGCTGTGTTTTTCCTGTTTAAATTGTGATGCTATATTCTTTAGAATGTAGATAATCATGGCTGTTAGAGCATTCTTGTGTAATACATCTTTTATGTTTATGAAGTATCTTTCTTCGTCCTGTTTATGGCTTTTTGTCTTAAATTCAACTTTTTCATGTATTACTCCACTTACCTGTTTTGAGGCCATGCTTCCGTTTCTTTTCCATGTGTTTGCAAAGCCCTGGCCTGGCTTTTCATTTCCAAGCTTCCTGAGTCAGTTTGTTTTAACATGTCCCTTGTAGTTCCAAAACATAGTTGGGTGTTACTGTGTGAGCCGTGTGATAATTGCCTTTTTTAAAAAATATGTAAAATAAGCACATTTAAATCAATTCCTTTGGCAGATATATTTGACCTGCCTTTGATCAGCATTTTAATGTCGTGCTTTGTTTTTATGGCTCCTTCTGAAATTCTGTTTCACAAGATGGTCTGTGTTTTCTTTGCATTATTGCTTGCTCATTTTTCACTATCGGCAATGACAAAATTGGGATATTTCCAGTTCCTCTCATCTCCTCTCCTTCCCCTATGTGCCCAAGTTCGGTTAATTTTGCTGTTTTTCTCAGTTCTTCTGGTTTTTACTTTTATGCCTTAAGATGCTCATTCTCCTATTGTTTGTTGACTTTATGTTTCTCCACCTGTGAAAATGGAAATTTCATGTTCTCCTGTCATTTTCCACCTTTCATCTTTCTCGATTTCTGTCAGTATATTATTTTCATAGGGGAATGACTTACATCTGTTCTCTGACCACAAATCCCACAGCTGCCTTACTCTCCGACCATCCGGTAGGTGGAGTCAGCGTTTGATGGGTCCAAGGCCTTCATCTCAGTGAGGCTGACACCACTGGCTGCATGCGCCATAGCCGTTCTCTGCTCCAGTCACTGTTGCTCACCTGCCCCTTCAGAGACTGAAATGTCAGGAAGTTAGTTCTCCACGTACACTTACATGATCTTCAGTTCACTTTCTGTTTTTAATTGAAGTATTGTTGAAACACAGTCTTATATTCAATTCACCCTTTACTAACAGTTCTTCTCCTGACGCTCGGAAGGGTGGTCATGGCCGCTCCAGGCTTCTCTGCTGCCTGCAGTCCACAGCGTCAGAGCAAGTGGGTCCCTCTCCCTGTCATTCATTCACCAACTCCAGAAAATAACGAAGGGCATTTTTTTTTACATGCCATGAGAATACACTATAAACTAGTGTTATCAAACTGGTGTAATATTGGAATAGGAGTAGATAAAAATGGATCAAAGGACACAATAAAGAATCTAGAGTAGATACAAGCCTACATGAGAATTTTAAATATAACATCTGTGATAATTCATTTAAACAAGAAAGGACAGTTTATTTAACAAATGGGCCTTGGCAAACAGAACTATCTGGTTTTTTTTTTACATGCCATGAGAATACACTATAAACTAGTGTTATCAAACTGGTGTAATATTGGAATAGGAGTAGATAAAAATGGATCAAAGGACACAATAAAGAATCTAGAGTAGATACAAGCCTACATGAGAATTTTAAATATAACATCTGTGATAATTCATTTAAACAAGAAAGGACAGTTTATTTAACAAATGGGCCTTGGCAAACAGAACTATCTGGGAAAAAAAAAAAGAGTTTGGACTCCGATCTCATATCATGTCATATGCAAAAATGCCTGCCAAACTTAAACATTTAAAAAAGTCATAAAAGGATTAGAAGAAATTCAAGGTAACTATGTGGCTGTGGAGGTAACTTTCTTAAGAAAGAAACCCAAAGGCTCGGTGGAAATAATAGTCATGTGATAATAAGGATAGAAAACAATTTGTACGAAAACCTTAATCAGTGTAATAAAGGCCACAGGTAGTAAATCTTTCAATACAGAGGGCAGGTAAATATCAAGATTGTTAATCTCTCTCCTCCAACACCAAATGCAATGGTGTAGTTTTTCCCCTACATATATGTATAACAATAATATTATACCAAGCAGTAATAGTAGTGCAAATCCATTCAGGTTCCCAGACCCGATTCCAAAGTGTGTAAATATGTGGGAGGGGGGTCTTCCCACACATATTTACAGCAAGCAATTCTCGAACACCAGCAAGGTGTTGGGGAACTCAACTTAATCCTGATGCTATCTGCCTGGTGACGGCACTAGCTTCCCAGGTTAAGGGCTCCATCCTACAGGACTGCCCTCCAGCCCCAACTCCAGACGCTGGTCACGAGCCCTGGGCAGTTCCCTGTGCTTCTGACCTGCCAGCTACAGACTGGAGGTTCCCACGACCTCCCCCTTAGGTTCAATTAATTTGCTAGAGCGGCTCACGGAACTCAGGAAGACACATTATGTTTTCCAGTTTAATAAAGGAGACAAGGTAACAGCCAGATGAAGAGAGACACACACAGGCCAAGGTCCCAAATACAGGAGCTTCTATTCTTGTGGAGCTTGGAGCCTGGCTCGGTGGCACATGGAGGCGGGTCTGGTCCCCCAAGCACGGAAGCTCTCCCCGACCCAGAAGCAGGATCCGACAGGGCAGAGCAGGTACAGGAGAGAAGAGAGAGAAAGCGAGCTCTTCTCAGGGGGTTTGCGAGCGCTTCACTGCATAGTCATGATTGACTAAATTTTTGGCCATTGGCTGATCCAACCTCCAGCCCTGTCCCTGGGTGGGGTCCAAAAGTCTCTCATTAACATGACAAGATGCCCATTTCACCTTTAAGACTCTGCAGTGTTTTCAGGACCTGTGGATGACGACCAATATACTTGGGAAGTATATATTTGGTCATATGAATGACCAAATATGTATTTCTTATGTTTCATTATATTGCAAATATCTTTACTCCTATAAGAAGTCAAAAGGACAAAGAATCCGATAAAAAAGGACCAAAAAAGGGGACAAGCAATTTAAGGAAAAGCAAAGCCAAAAGCTAAACATGAAACAAATGCTCAAATTAACCAGGAGTTTGAAAGTGAGTATTCGATGTCACTTTACACCTGCGAACTGGCAAAATCATAAGGAATTTGAACACCCTTAGCTGGCATGGATGTGAGGAAAAAGTACCCTTATGTGTGGAAGCAATCTGGCATCATCTATTAGCATTACATTTACTTATTCACATAATCTCAACAACCCCGCTCCTGGGAATCTGCCCCACCAAACCAAAGACAGCAATATGGAAGGATAAATGTCATCATAGCATTATTCGTGGTGAAAAAACCAAAACAAAACAAAGACCACACAAGACTGGAAATAAAGCAAATGTCCATCAGCTGAATAACCTTTGATACGTCAACACCACTGCATTCAAGGCAAATAAAAAGACACATCACAACCGATTGGATGAAGAAGCAAACATGAGCATTCAGTCACCTTCCGTTAAGTGAGATGTTAAAAGACACTTGAAGAACTGTAAAACAACGCTTCTTTACATGGATTCTTAATTTCAATAAAGCAGGCTTTTAAATTAAATACATTCACTGTTTTTAACATGTTTATCATTGTTTTTATATATGTGTTAGTACTTAAATATTTTGACAGTTCTCATTGGATGAGGATTACAAAGAAACCACACATTTAATTAGAAAATAGACAGCCCAGTAAGAAAATTGGCTAATGACCTGAGCAGACAGCACACAAAAAAAGACCAAATGGACACTGATGATATACAAAGGTTCTCAATCATTCTATTATTTAAAAATATATAGTCACGCCAGTAGTAATACAGCAGTGAACATGGAAGTTCTAATAGCTCTTCAAGATCCTGATTTCATTTCCTTTGGATAAATATCCAGAAGTGGAATTGCTGGGTCATATGGTAGCTCTACCTTTAATTTTTCAAGGAAGCTCCATATTGTTGTCCACAAGGACTGCTCCGCTTTGCATTCCCATCAACAGTGTGCAAATGTTCTAATTTCTCCTCATCTTCGCCAGCATGTTATCTTTTGTTTTGTTTTGTTTTGTTTTGTTTTGTTTTGTTGATGATAGCCCTTCCCACAGGTAAGAGCTGATATCTCATTGTGACTTTAATTTGCATTTCCCTACTGATTAGTGACGTGGAGCATTTTTTCATGTAACTGTTGCCCATTTGTATGTCTGCTTCCAAGAAACATCTATTCAAGTCCTCAGCCCACTTAAAAATCAGCATATTCATTTACTTTTAAATTGTAGAAGTTCCTCACATATTTTGAGGATGAACTCCTTATCGGACATAGGGTTTGCAGATATTTTCTCCCATTCCCTAGGCTGTCTTTTGACTCCACGGATGGTGTCCTTTGCTGTGCAGAAGCTTTTCACTCTGACGTTGCCTCACTTGTTTGTTTTTGTTTTTCTTGGCTGTGCGTTTGGTGTCATATCCATGAAATCATTGCCAAGATCCATGTCCTGAAGCTTTTCCCCTACGTTTTCTTCTAGTACTTCTAAGACGTCAGGTCTTAGGTTTGAGGCTTCAATACATTTTAAGTTGATTCTTGTGCCTGTCATGTAAGACATTAACATGAGGGGAAGTTGGGAGAAGAGTATATGTGGGAATTTAGGTAGTATTCTTGCAACTTTTCAAAACACAAAAAATAGAGCAACATAAAAGAGTTAAAACTGTAGTTTACTTTTAATATTTTAACATCACGGAGTGTGGGAACAAAGATTTCTCAGCACTTTTAACAGCTATTTTTTTTTTCTCTGTTCACCACACACTACCCAGTTCTGATACTAAATAGATGCTCACTTTGCCAGTAAAGGATCCTGGTGATAGTGTCATCACCAGGTTGTTAAGTTTTCCTTCCCCACTAATATAAACTGACTGAAAGAAAGGATTACTTCGCCAGGAAGACTTGGCCAAAAGTGATGACATAATTTCATTAAAGCCGTACTACAAACTCAATCTTTGCTGCTCTCTCTGTGGTTTCCGAAGCACATGTAAGATTGTCACCCTTCATTATGTATTTTTTGGTGAGGTATAACTTAGATAGAGAAAGATGATAAAACAAATGTATTCACACATGTCAGGAATAATTCGAAATATTCTTGTTGTCATATAGGTCAAGAAATGAAATACATACAACATCGTGAATCGCCTCCATGTGGCTTCCCCAGGAAGATTCGCTTCCCTTGACAAGTGAGCAACGTTCCAACTTTTTGATAAACTTGCCTTCGCTCTTTTAATGGTCACTTAATATAGTTTTCTTTTGCTTGCTTTTAAGATTAAATATTTGTGGATGGACCAAGACAGTGTACTCTTCTGTCTTCTTATTTTCTCCCACATCATGAGAATTGTCCAAGTTGCTGTGTAGCTCTAGGCCATCTCTTTGCATTGTTGCATAGTATTCCTTTGTGTGGCCACCCTGCACCTCATTTATCCACCTGACTCTAAGAGGTCAGGGGTACTGCTTCCAGATTGGGGCCATGACAAAGGATGCCAATGTGAACAGTGTTGCACATGCATCTGGTGTAACTGTGCACAAGTATCTCTAGGGCCGCAAATAACGTATCTAACAAAAACACATATTTTTTAAACAAAAATCAATGAGAAGAGTAGTATTGTTTTACATTTTTGCAAGTATTTTTAATGCCTGGCTTAATGGAACAGATTGTGGCACTTCTCAGCCTCTGTAATTATGTGAGCCAACTCCCTATAATAAATTTCTTCCTATGCATCTATATCCTTTTAGTTCTGTTTCTCCAGACAACCCTGACTAATACCCGTCCTTCAACACTATAGCTCTCACTGGCCAGGCAGCATCCTTCCATCCCCTACCCCATCAGGTCTGAGGGGCACCCATGGCTCCCCACTGTGGCTTGTACCTAGATTCTTCAGCATCCCTTACTGGACCTCTTCAACTTGCCACACCTCTGTAACTAGTTCCTTCTTCATAGTTTATATTTAATTAGACCCCTGGCAGTGCCATCAGCCTCCTGAGATCCTG